ACATTTACTTCCACAAGATTTTGAGTTCCAAATTTTCACCCCATCTTGCCCCTCCCCCCACCCCAAGACGACAGGCATTCTGAATACCCTTTCCCCTAGTCTGCCTTCCCTTCTATCTCTCCCCCCCTTCTCTTATCCCCTTCCCCTTCAATTTTCCTGTAGGGCAGGATGGATTTCTGTACCCCATTTCCTATATTTCTTATTTCCCAGTTGCATGTGAAAACTTTTTTTTAAACATGTGTTTTTAAAACTTTGGGTTCCAAATTTTCTCCCTTCCTCCCTCCCCACCCACCCTCATTGATAAGGCAAGCAACTAAATATAGGTTATATATGTGCAGTTATGCAAAATACTTCCATAGTAGACATGCTGTGAAAAACTAACTCTATTTCCCTTAATCCTATCCCACCCTCCCATTTATTCTATTCTTTCTTTTGACTCTGACCCTCCTCAGAAATACTTGCTTCTGATTACCCCCTTTCCCAATCTGCCCTCCTCTCTATCATCCCCCTACTCTCTTGTCCCCTTCCCCCCGTATTTTCCTGTAGGGTAAGACAGATTTCCATACCCAATTGAGTGTGTATGTTATTCCCTCCTTAAGTCAAATCCTATGAGAATAAGATTCACTCATTCTCTCTCACCTTTCCCCGTTTCCCCTCCACTGTAAGAGCCTTTTCTTTTCTGTTTTTTTTTTGTGAGATAATTTACCCTGTTCTACCTCTCCCTTTCTGCTTCTCCTAGTATATTCCTCTCTCACCCCTTAATTTTATTCTCCAGATATGACCCTTTCATCTTCAACTCACCCTGTGCCCTCTATCTATCTATCTATCTATCTATCTATCTATCTATCTATACATACTTATAATTCTTTCCCTCCAACTACCCTAATACTGACAGAGGTCTCATGAGTTACAAATATCATCTTTCCATGCAGGAATGTAAACAGTTCAACCTTAATAAGTCTCTTATGATTTTCTCTTTCCTGTTTACCTCTTCATGTTCCACTTGAGTCTTGTATTTGAAATTCAAATTTTCTATTCAACTCTGGTCTTTTCATCAAGAATGCTTGAAAGTCCTCTATTTCACTGAATGACCATTTTTTCCCCTGCAGGATTATACTCAGTTTTGCTGGGTAGGTGATTCTTGGTTGTAATCCTATCTCCTTTGCTCTCCAGAATATTATATTCCATGTCCTGCAGTCCCTTAATGTAGAAACAGCTAAATCTTGTGTTATCCTGATTGTGTTTCCACAGTACTTGAATTGTTTCTTTCTGGCTGCTTGTAATATTTTCTCCTTGACATGGGAACTCTGGAATTTGGCTACAATATTCCTAGGAGTTTTCCTTTGGGGATCTCCTTCAGGAGGAGATCTGTGGATTCTTTCAATTTCTGTTTTGCCCTCTGGTTCTAAAATATCAGGACAGTTTTCCTGGATAATTTCTTGAAAGATGATGTCTAGGCTCTTTTTTTGATCATGGCTTTCAGATAGTCCAATAATTTTTAAATTCTCTGTCCTGGATCTATTTTCCAGGTCAGTTGTTTTTCCAATGAGATATTTCACGTTGTTTTCTAATTTTTCATTCTTTTGGATTCGTTTTACAGTGTCTTGATTTCTCATAAAGTCACTAGCTTCCAATTGCTCCATTCTAATTTTTAAGGAAGTATTTTCTTCAGTAATCTTTTGGACTTCCTTTTCCATTTGGCCAATTTTGCTTTTTAGGGCATTCTTCTCCTCATTGGCTTTTTGGATCTCTTTTGCCATTTGGGTTGGGCTATTTTTTAAGGTGTTATTTTCTTCAGTATTTTTTTGGGTCTCCTTTAGCAAGCTGTTGTCTTGTTTTTCATGATTTTCTTGCATCACTCTCAGTTTTTCCTCTACTTCTCTTACTTGCTTCTCAAAATCCCTTTTGAGCTCTTCCAAGGCCTGGGACTGATTCATATTTTTCTTGGAGGCTTTGGATGTAGGAGCTTTGGCTTTATTGTCTTCTTCTGGTTGTAGGTTTTGATCTTCTTTGTCACCAAAGTAAGATAATATAGTCTGACTCTTTTTGCACTGCTTACTCACGATCCCAGCCAATTACTTGAGTTTTAAACTCTTCGTTAAGGTAAGAGTCTGCTTCCAATGTGAAGAGTGTACTGTCCCAGGCTTTGGGGGTTTGTACAGCTGTTTTCAGAGATAGTTCTAGGTACCTGTAAATTTTCAGTTCTTCCAAGGTGCTATGATAAGGAGCGAGGTGTTTCCTCTCCACCACCACAACAAGCTCCACCGCACCAGCGTTCCTCCTTCCCCCAGGACCACCCCTCAGAACTGTGACCCAGATCCACGTACTGGTAAAGCAAGAGATTCCTGCCTCAGCACTGGCAAAGAGATCCTTGTAATGTCCCTCTGATCAGCCACTAGATTCCCCCTCAGTCTTGGGCCAGAAGCTCAGAAAACAGCTGTGGCCCTGGCCACGATGGGGGACTTGTGACTGAGACCTAGCTCCTCTCTCACCACAGTCACAGACTTTTCCCACTGACCTTCCACGTTGTCTTTGGCGTTTGTGGGTTGAGAAGTCTGGAAACCGCCACAGTCGCCCACGATTCAGTCCTCTGAGGCCTGCTCCAGGGTCGCTGCGGCCTGCGGGCCCACGCCTCACTGAGCTCCTCTCCCCACCTGGTGTGATACACATTTCCAATCAATCATCCAGGCTGTCTTTGGCTGGAAATTTGTTTCACTCTGTCTTTTTGTGGGTTCTGCTGCTTTAGAATTTGTTTAGAGACATTTTTTTAGGTATTTGGAGGGCTTTGAGAGAGAACTCAAGACAGTCACTGCTTTTCCTCTGCCATCTTGGCTCTGCCCCTATATACAGCTTATTTTAACTCTTAACATAGAATTAATTTTAAAAAAATAGTACTTCTAGTAAGAACACAGTACATAATAAAATCAGCATCTAACAATCGATCTGGGAGCCTGCCACTCTCCTAAAATCCAGAAGTCTCCTCAAAATTTAAATGGAGTTTCTGAGATACTGGAGTAGTCTGCCATTTCCTTCTCTAGTTCATTTTGCAGATGAGGAAACTGAGGCAAATAAGCTTACGTGACTTGTCCAGGGTCACACAGCTGATAAAGTGTCTGAGGCCAGATTTGAACTTGGGAATTAAAAAAATTAAATGGAGAATTAATATTTGATTTTAGAGCCATTAGAAGACCTCTGGAGTTTTTTGAGGAGAGGGGTGACACAGTCAGATTTGCAATTAAGGAAATAACTTTGGAAGCTATGAGCTGGAGGGAGGAGAGACTTTGGGCAGAGAACTGAGAGGTGATGAGAGCCTCATTTAAAGTGATGGATCTATAGGTAGAGGAAAAGGGTCAGATGTTGACCAGCAGGTATGCTGGGGGTCTGCTCTCCTAAAACAATTGTATGACCTTGGGCAAGTTATACTCTCTGGGCCTCAGTTTCATCATCTGTAAAATGAAGGATTTAGCCTCAAAGGTCCCTTCCAGTTCTAAACCTGTGATTGTATTTCTGACACTTACTGGTTGTGTGCCCTTGGGCAAGTCACAAAACTCTGTGAACCTCAGTTTACTCTTCTGTAAAATGATGAGGTAGTTGGGCTTGATGACCTCTGGGGTCCCTTCCAGTTCTCAATCTAGGAGCCTATGATTGGCCCAGCAGACAAGATATGATGACAGTAGCCAGTTCTGTAATTCATTGAGTCACACTTGAATATTTACCAGTAGACCATGACCAACTAGTTGGAGTCACCTGGGTTAGAGAACAATATAGTTTTAGTTAAACTCCCCTTTTTTTCTCCAACTTTTCTTTTTTCTTTTTTCTTTTTTCTTCTTGCCAACTCCGTTTTTTTCCCTCCAAAGGTGGTGAAGCTCAGAGACATGGGGAATGGCCTTTCCATACATGAAGATTTTTCAGAAAAAGACAGATAGCTACCAGCTTTACAGAATAAGACAACCCCAGAGCTGAGAATAAATGCTTATTGATTGACTAACTGTTGGAAGACTACCTGGCGGCCATCTGGTCCAACTCACACCTGAACAAGGATTCCTTCTCTAACATACCTAACAAATGGTCATCCAGCCTTTGCCTGAAGACCCCCATTGATGAAGTACCTCCCCACCTCCCCAAGCAGCCCATTCCACTTTGGGACCTCTCTCATTGTAGGGAAAAATTTCTCTGATATCCAAGCGGAATCTGCCTTTTTGCATCTTCCATTCATTGTCTTTGGCCCTTCTCTTCCTGGGGCCAACCAAAACAAGTTTGGTTCCTCTTTGGCATTGCCCCATCCACCTATGGCACGATCTCCAGACCCTTCACCTTAAAGACTGCCCTCCTCCATACAATCCAGCTTATCAATGACCTTCCTATTTTGTGGCACCTAGAACATAACAACATTTTGTTTGGCCAGACTAGGTCAGCCAGTCAGTCAACAAGCATTTGTTAAGCACCTACTACGGGCCAGGCTTTGTGCCAAGCTCTGAAGATACAAAGAAAGGAAAAGATGGTCCCTGATCTCAAGGAGCTGACAGTCTAATTGGGGAGATAACATGCAAACCACTATATACATACAAGCTATATGCAGGATAAATTGGATTAATCCACAGAGGTGATCTAGGCTGATTACCTAGAGCTGGGATGTAATAGGCCATTTGTCCAATCCCAACATTTTACAGAGGAGGAAACTAAGGCCCACAGATGTTATGAGACTTGCTCTAGGGCATACATCCCTCTAGTCATGGAAGGGTTTTCAGAGGGCATCTAGTCCAACCCTACCATTTTACAAATGGGGAAACTGAGTCTCAGAGAAGGGAAGTGATTTGCACAATGTCACACAGCTAGTAAGTGTAAGAGATATATCTTAGAATGGGGCCATTTAGTCAAACTCCCTCAGTTTCTGAAGAAGGGAATCAAGTCCCACTCATCTGCTCTTTTCTGCTGGAAAGTAGTCAGTTCCCATTTTGTCTCATATCTGAGGCTGTCCCTCTTGTCTCCACTCCCTACAGCCTCCACTATGCGTGTGGTCGTGATTGGGGCAGGAGTGATCGGACTTTCCACTGCCCTGTGCATCCATGAAAATTACCACCGCACCCTGCAGTCCCTGTCCATCGAGGTGTACGCTGACCGCTTCACTCCACTCACAACCAGCGATGGGGTCGCAGGCCTCTGGCAGCCCTACCTCTCCGAGGTACCGCAAGAGAGGTGAGCAAGGAATCCCAGGGTGGGGTGGGGGTGGGGCCAGCAGCTGGCACGGTTCTAGCTGAGAGAGGCAAGCACTTGCTATGTCAATCTGGCCCTTAGTCACTGAGCATTCCAAATCAACCGCAAGAAATCTCATCTGACTGATGCCACAGTAATGACAGCAATAACCATTTCTACTGACCCTGTGGGGATCATTGTGCTGACCCATGTGACAGCTTTTCTGGCAATTTGGGAACTTGGAAAAGTTTTTCTTTTTTATGAAAAGGATTGAACTGTCCAGAGATAGGGGAAAAAACACTAGTTCTAGGGACAGAGAATTTAGGTTCAAATCCTGCTTCTCATATTTATTATCTATATGACCTTAGGCAAGTCATTTACTCTATAGGCCTCAGTTTCTCTCTCTGTGAAATGAAGAAATTGGGCTAGATGATCTTTGAGGTCCCTTCCAGCATCTGACACTTCCCTGGCTAAATCACTTACCATCCCTGGGCTTCAGATTCTCCCTCCATAAAATGAGGCAGTTGGGTTGGATAATTTCTGAGGTTTCTTCCTGGTTTAGGTCTATGATCCTATGATTCCCAAGATATGACCTTGATTATGCCATATTTTAACTCATATGAAGGCAGTGTGGTCTAGTGGATAAAGCGATGACCTCAGAGACTAGAAGCCCTGGGTTCAAATCCTGCCTCTGACACATATTAGCTGTGTGACCCTGGGCAAGTCACTTAACCTCTGAGGGTCGTGTGTAATCTCTAAGTCCAAGGTATGAAATGAGGTTTTGAGGGGAAAGAGATTTAGACCCCAGTACAAAGGGGCCTGAGCTGCTGAAGAAGGGTGGATTCACACAGGCCTTCTCTACCCAGCCCTTAGCTGGGGCAGGTGACAGTCACTGGGGCCTCAGGTGCAATGGGCATTAGGGGTGGGTATCAGTGAAAGTCCGAGAGGCCACCCCCCATCAGGCTGAATACACCCAAATTAGATAGCTAATGCTATAGGTCAGGAAGACCTGAGTTTGACTCCTGCCTCATCCATTTACTAGCTGTGTGACCTCAGGCAGGTCACCTAACTTCCCTGGGGCCTCAGTTTTCTCAGCTGTGAAATGAGAGAGTTGGATTCAGCGGCCTCTAAGGGCCTTTCCATCTCTAGACCCCTGACCCTGTGTCTCCCCCAAGCTCTTCCCAGTCAGGATGGGGGATGCCTGGGGTCCTCTGTTTCCCCCTCAATAGGGCAACTTGAAAAGGCCCAAAGGTCATCATTTTTTGCAGTTTCGATGAGATAGATTGTTGCTCAGACTCATTTGAGTGGTTTTACATTTCTGATCTCAGGCGAGGAAATGCTAGGTATTGGCCGGAGAGGTCAGTAAAAAAGGAAATGCAAGCGCTGAGTGGCAAAGAAGTTTCCAGGAAAAAAGCAGAAAAAGGGAAAAGTGTCCAAAAGAGAGGGAGCCTGATGTAAGTGAAGCTCAGGGATCTGAGAGATGGGGACGACCTCAAAATAGGCCTAAATCCCTGCACAGAAAACATGTCTCTCAACTTTGTGTCTTTGGCAGGAAAGCAATATATAGAGAGACACAAAAAAATTCAACCAAATTACTATGGGAAACATACATATTTGTGTGACAGGGTTTGTTTTCCATTTAGGAGATTGCAGATTTAGAGGTGGAAGGGGCCTCAGAAGCCCAACCCCCTTCTCTTTACAGATGAAGAAACTGAGGCCCAAACAAGTGAAATGATTTGCCTAAGGTCACACAAAGCTTGTTATTTAGTCATGTCTGATTCTTTGACTCCATTTGGGGTTTTCTGGCAAAGATGCAGGAGTGGGCTGCCATTTCTTTCTCCAGTGTGTCTTCATTTTACAGATGAGGAAAATGAAGCAAACGGGGTTAAGTGACTTGCTCAGGGTCATATAGCTGGTAAGTGTCTGAGGCTAGATTTGAACTCAGGTCTTCCCAACTCCAAATCCTGCGCCCTTTCCTCCTTGTCTTTCTTTAAGTCAAACCAACACCTTCTCAATTTATTCCCTAACACCGCTATTCACATCTTCACCCTCATTATTTCCATTGTTGTTATCTCACTAATACTTTGATTATAGTTCTCTCCTCCACCTCCCTGCACTCAGATTTTGTGTAAGGTTCTCAAAGTGTGGTCTGTGGGCTTCTCGGGATTCCCAAGACCTATTTAGGGGGTCTCAAGGTCAAAGGGGTGGTTAGGTGGCACCATAGTGCACAGTGGTAGGCCTGACAGGAAGGAAGACTCATCTTCCTGAGTTCAAATCCAGCCTCAGAAACTAGCTGTGTGACCCTGGGCAAGTCACGTCACCCTGTTTGACTCAGTTTCCTCATCTGTATGATGCGCTGAAGGAAATGGCAAAAAACTCCAGCATTTTTCCCCAAAAAAACCCCAAATGGGATCACGAAGAGTCAGACACAACTGAACAATAACAAGTTAACAAGATCAAGACTATTTTCGTAATAATGCTAAGAAACTATTTCCTGTTAAAATACTCCGCCCTTTTGCAACTGCGTATTTGTGGGAGCCTGAATTTTCTTTATGTCCTTCACCAAAACCGCATATTACAATAGATTAAATGCAGAAGCAGATAGGAGAATTCCACTATTTTCTATTAAAGCCAGACATTAGATTTGCAAAAATATGCAAAGCAATGCTACTCTTCTCATTAATTGTTTTTGTTTTAGAAAACATTGAAAAATGAAAACATTTTTCATGAAAATATGTTATGTAATAAGTTTAATATTATTTTTAATGAATTAATAAATTCATGTTTTTAAATGTCATCCATTTTAATTTCTAATGCAGTTAAGTATTGCTCCGTATAACTCACCTATATAAAAGATCTTTGGGGTCAATCACTTTTAAGAGGGTAAAGGGTTCTGCAACCAAAACCTTTGAGAATTGTTACTCTAGGCCACATTTTGAGGGTGAGTGGAAGGACAGCGTCTATTCAGACCAACATAACCATCCCCATTTTATTTAAAGGAATTTCACAGAGGTGATCTGCATTATCTAAGGTATAGTTAATTAAGGGATTGATCCATAGTCATTCAGGCAAAGAACAGTGGAAACGGGATTCTAAACCTAGCTCTTTAAGGTCCAAATCAGTCATTCACACTTTAGTGAGAATGAGTTCCTATCCTTTAGTGACACATGAACTTAGAGGAGAGAACAGGAGAAAGGGAATTTTGATAAAGAAGGAGAAGGAGATAGGGAGGGGTTTGGAGTTAGGACCCCTGGCTCATAGATTCAGAGCTGAGATGTCACTGAGTCTGACCTTCTCATCTGACGGATGAGGAAACGGAGGCCCAGGGCTGTGCTGTGACTTGCCTTCAACATGAAGGCTTTTCTGATCCTCTCAGATACTAGTGAACTCTCTTCCCAAGTCATCTTGTACTTACTTTGTGTATAGTCATATATGTACATGCGCACATATGCACATGTACATATATACATGCATACATATATACATATATCTATATAGATGCATCCGTATATGGTTATTGTCCTTTGTTCTTGAAGAAGACCAAAATGGCATCACTATACTGGGGCCAAGGTACAGTGTGTCCCACTGTGGTTGACCAGACCGCAGGTCGGGCACAAACAGTCCATGGGATCATTTGGGGTGGATTCTCTAAATTTTCGCCTCTCGCTTTTCTTTTGAGCTACTTCAATTCTGCTTTGCTCATAGAGCGCAGCACCTTCTCTGATGAGGGGGCCATGCTGTACCAGCGTCTCCCATTTCAGTATATATACCTGATAGGATACAAACTCCTTGAGGGCCGGGGATCTTTCATTCTTTGTCTGTATCCCCAGTACCCAATACAGTGGTGTCTGGTGCATAATAGGTGCTTAATAAATGTTGCACAGATAGTAAGCAGCCAATGTTTGAACCCAGGACCTTTGGCTCCAAGTCCAGTTCTTTTCCCACAGCACCATACTGCTGCTAGGAGGTGTTATCAGGGTGCTGCTGGGCATGGGTAAGTGATGTCAGCTCATGGTAGGGTACACAAGATGGGAGCAGAGGGATCCTGACAGAGCCAAGTGTCCACAAGAAGAACATGATAGCTTGGACTTTTTGGCCTCTGAGGTCCCTTCTGACTCCAGATCTTGTCTTTATTTGCCTGGGCCTCAGTTTCCTCATCTGTAAAATGAAAGGAGTTGCACTCAACGGCCTCCAAGGTCCCTTCCAATTCCAGTTCTAACATCCGACGACCCTTGAACGTGTCTAGCTGATTTCTAAGGTCTCCTCCAGCCCTCCCCTTCTCAGACCAAGCCCCAGCCAGCTCACAGCTCTATTGAGGGTCCCTCCCAGGGCTGGCAACCACTCCCAGGGGTTTTTCCACCCTTTGTGTGTTTCTGTTCTCACAGGGCTTGGGGCCGAAAGACCTTTGACTACCTACTGGGCTACATCAATTCTCCAGAAGCCAAGAAAATGGGTCTATTCCTCCTGTCAGGCTACAACCTCTTCCCCAGAGCTGTCCCAGTAAGTCAGCTTCACCTCTGTCCTGGGAGGGACGGACTTTGTTGGAAACAGCAAAGAATTAGAAACTGAAAGGGAAGCTTGTCAGCTGGGGAATGGTGGAACAAGTTAGCACAGGAAAACACTATGGAATACTATTGTGCTATAAGAAAAGATGAAGGGGCTGGTTTCAGAGAAACCTAGGAAGACTTTTATGAATGGATGCAAAGTGAAGTGAGCAGAACCAGGAGAACAGTTTACACAATGACAGCATTATTGTGGAAATAAACAACTCTGAGGGACTTGGGAACTCTGATCAATGCAGTAACCAATCACCATTCCAGAGGACCAAAGATGCAGCATGCCGCTCACCTCTGGATGCAGGGTGATGTACTCAGGATGCAATTGCTGGTGAAATAATATAGTCAAGAGGTGATGAGGGTCTGGACGAGGTGGTGGCTGTGAGTAGAAAGAAGGGCACAAATAACAATAATAGCTAGCAATTATACAGAACTTTAAGGCTTACAAAGGGCTTTCATAATGATATCATCATTATAATAGCTAACGTTTACACAGCACTTACCATGTGTCAGCCACTAGGCTGTTTTATAATTGTTTTCTCTTTTTATCTTCACAACAACCCTGAGAAGGAGGTGTGATTATTATCCCCATTTTACAAATGAGGAAACTGAGGCAGGCAGCAGTTGAACGACTTGCCAGGGTTCACAAAGCTATTAAGTGTTTGACTCAGAATTTAAACTCAGGTCTTTCTGATTCTAGTATTGCTTATGTTCTGTATAGCTCTGGGAAGTAGAATTAGCACCAGTGGGTAGAGAGTATACTAGGACACAGATTTAGGGACAATTACAAGCATGTATGAACTGGGTTTAGAACCAGAAAGATATGGGTACGAAATCTGCTTCTGAAATTTACTGTGGTAGAGAGGGAAAAAATGCTAAATTGAGTCACCAGACTGAAATTTGAATCCTAGGTCTTTTACTTTCCACCTATGTGACCTTGGCCAAGTCACTTAACCTTGGTGGGTTTACCAGCTCCAGATCCATGACTGTATAATCCTAGCTGTGTGATCTTAGGCCACTTGCTTAACCTCTCCGAGCTGGTCTCAACCTCCTCATCTGTAAAATGGTGACAATAACACCCTTAGCACCAAAGTCACAAAGTTGTGGTGAAGTTCAAATGATACAAATTAATGAAAAGTACTTTGTAAACTTTAAATCACTATAGAAAGCGCAACTACTGAGGAAGAAGGGCCTCATGGGGCCGTCTATAAATGTGTTGGTCTACCTCAGTAGGTAGTGAGGTTCTCATTGCTGGAAGTATTCAAGTAGAATTCTAGTGACTGCTTTTCTCTGTCTGACATTTAGATCTCCTCATGATATGGTCTCTTCCTACCTTTCCAGTCTTCTTACACTTTGCTCTCCATCTAGAAACTTTGTGATTAAGCCATACTGACCTGTCTACTCTCTACCCACTACATTCTTGGAAATGTTTTTCTCTTCACCTCCATGTCTTGAAATCCCTGGTTCCCTTCAGGACTCAGTTCAGGCATCACCTTCTTCATGAAACCTGCCCTGATCCCCCTAGCTCTGAGAGCCCTCCCTTCCAAGGCTCCTTTGTATCAGTTTTGAATACATTGTATGTGTATATATACATACATACATATATATATATATATATATACATATATATCTTTTTTTTTTTGCCTTTTCTTCTATGGCCGGGCTTAGCATACCAAGAGCCCACATACAATATGCTTTTTGGTTGGTTGATATAGGGGATTTCCGAATGGGTAGGAGTTTGGATTAGAAGCTCCTTTTGGATTTCACAGGGACATGAATTTTCCCTCTGTAGGATCCTTCCTGGAAGGACACGGTTCTGGGGTTTCGCCAACTGACACCCCGAGAGCTTGAGATGTTTCCTGGTTACAGGTAGGACTGATGGGACCATTGGGCAAGGGAGGGGTTTGCTTCAGGAAGAGCAAAACTCCCACCCCCCCACAATGCTGATGTATGGCAGCAGGCACCGTTGGCTGGTACTTTCCCATCTGGAGCCATGAGCAGCATTGCTGTGGGCTCCCTTGCCAAGCCTCACACTGCCCACCCGCACACGTAGGCAGGCCTCTCTCCAGTCTGCTTGGAGGAGAGCCTGGAGCTTCAAAAGGACAGGAATTTAAGAATGCCTCAAAGGATGGAGCTCCATGAAGTACATTTTTTCTTAATCCTTAAGGAAGAGAAAATAGATAGGAGGATGAAAATCTTTAATTTAAAGTAAAAGGATAATCTCTGCTTGCAACTATTTGTGTTTCAAATATGTATGCACAGAAAGGAGAAATCATAGTAAATGACAGTAAAATGATTTTAAAATGTATAATAATTGCTGGGCCTGCTCCTTCTTAACTACACCATTCCTTTGCTTGTCACCTCTTGTGTCAGCCACGGATGGTTCAACACTACATTGATCTTGGAGGGCACTAGCTACCTGCCCTGGCTCACTCAGAGGTGAGTGCTGCCTCTCCCCATCAGGGACATGGCTTGGGGGGGGGATTCAGCCCCTCAGGCTTAAGATCGTCATCCATTGTCCCAACAAAAATATACTTAAAGGATGCATGCGTGGTTCCATTTCTCAGCCTGGCTCCGAAGGGCAGAAATAGAAGCAGGGGGTAGATGCTACAAGGAGACAGATTTAAGCTTGGCACTGTTAGAGCCTTCTCAATCTGGGCCATCTGCTTCCTCACTAGACCTGGACGGCTTCAGACCAATCAAGGACGGCCACTTGTCGGACAGGTTGTCCCGGTCTTGGTTGTACTAGATGCCTCTGAGGTCCCTTCAGTCTTGGAGATTCTGGGACTCTGTCTGTGGAGGTCTTCAGGAATCAAAGTCCCTTGGGCAGAGGGATTGTTTCATGTGTCTTTGTGTCCTTGGATACAACAGAGAGGCCGTGGGTGAGGGAGAGGTGGAGAATACCTATCTTGGAAGCAGAAAGATCTGGGTTTGAGTCTGACTAAGCCTGATTGCCTTAAATCCTGCTTCAGTTCAGAACTCCTGAGCTCCAGAGATTCTCCAGCCTCAGCCTCCTCAGGAGCACTACTGCGTGGCCTCCAGGGGTTCTTAACTTAGGGTCTGCAAATTGTTTTTTCATATTTCAAGAACTTTTATTTCCATAGTCTCCTTTGGTAGTCCAATGCTTCTCATTTTATGAATTTAAAAAAAAATATGAGTTAGAGAAGAGGCCTGTAGGCTTCCTCAGACTGTCAAAGGAGTCCATGATGCCCCCTCCAAAAGATGAAGAACCCTTTCTCCAGGCCCTGTAAATGACCTAGTACCAGATGGAGGAAAAGGAGGCGAGAGACCCCTTATAATTGCTGGGGAACTGGGGAGAGTCAGTGTGTTACAGTGGCAAGAACTCTGACTTTGGAGACAAAAGACCCAGGTTCTAACCTTGGCTTTGCTACTTGTATTTTCCCTTTCCCAAGCCTCAGTTTCCCCATCTGTAAAATGAGCTTCTTGGACTTTAAACGGTCCACCTCAGCCTCTCCATTTATAAAACAAGGGCATGAGACTGAATGATCTTGAAACTATAAATCTTGTGAAGAAGAAGACTGGGCAGGGCTGTGGCCTTCTGACTCACTGACCACCTTCTCCTGTGGAAACCTTGTTATCTTGCAGGTTAACTGAACGGGGAGTCAAATTCTTCCTGAAAAAAGTTCAATCCTTTGAGGAGGTAAATCAAGGGTAAAGAAGGGATTGGCTGAAGGTGGCAGGGAGTCCAGGGCTGTTCTTGATTCCAGCTGCCTCCCTTCCCCAGGCACTGGGAACCCTCCGGGGGGGGGAGAAGCTTCTGGTTTCCAGTAACCCATTTTCCTGACTTCTCAGTACTTTCCATTATGGCCGATGAGCTCCTGGGAGGCAAGGGGATGCCTTTGTTTTTCTTTGTAACCCCAGAGGTTAACATGATACCTGGCACATGTTAGTAAATCTTTTTCAGTCATGTCCAACTCTTTGCGACCCCATTCAGGGTTTTCTTGGCAAAGATACTGGAGTGGTTTGCCATTTCCTTCTTCAGCTCATTTAATAGATGGGGAAACTGAGGCAAACATGATTTTCTTTTTTGAGGCAAACTTGATAAAGTGACTTGTCCAGGGTCACACAGCTAGTAAGTAACAGAGGCTGGATCTGAACTCAGGAAGATGAGTCTTCCTGACTCCAAGCCTGGCACATAGTAGGTGTTAAGAAATACTAGCTGATTAAATGACTAACATCCACTATCTATATATCTTGTATTTACCTTGTTATCTGTGTGTTGGCTCCCCCATTAGACTGGGAGTTTCTTGAGGACAGGCCTGTTGGACTGTTTTTGCCTTTCTTTGTATCCCTAGGACTGAACAGGGCTGTGGTTTGGGGTTTTTTGGTTGGTTTCTTTTTTTTTTTGCATTCTTTTATTTCATACATTTGTGTTTACAACATTGTCCCAAGATGGATGTTCAATAGTCTTTAGATTAAGGAAGGGCAAAGAAAAGGCTTAAGTTCTTAAAATACAGCAAGAACAAATCGAAATGCGTTAATTGGATTAAAACACGCAAAAAATCCATCCATGTAAAGTTATGAAACAGCGCCTATGTCAGTGAAATGGTACTTTTCATCATATTCTGTCATAAAATCTCCCCATTCAATGATTAAAATGGAATGAAAGCAATTGGACTGATTTTTGCTTTAATTGGAACAAGAATTACAGCTCTCTGCTCTTCTATTTTACAGCTCAGACTGGATTTTCCTTGTTCTGTGGCCACCAGTTTATGACGTATGGTTGCATATGTATTCTTTGCCCAAAGGCAAACAAAGAATGGATTGGTTTTCTTTCCTTAAAAGCCCTGTCCAGGGGCAGCTAGGTGATGCATGGATAGAACTCTGGCCTTGGAGTCAGGAGGACTTGAGTTCAAATCTGGCCTCAGACACTTGACACTTACTAGCTGTCTGACCCTGGGCAAGTCACTTAACCCCAATTGCCTCAGGAAAAAACAAAAAAACAAAAAAACCCCAAACAAACCCCCACCCCCAAATCCTGTCCCATGGACTTTACAAAAATCTGTAAAGCAACACCATGGATCATGTTAAGTGTAGCAGGTGCTTAATAAATGCTTGTAGTGGAAAGTATACTGATTCTGAAATCAGAGGATCTGAGTTCAAATCCTGCTTCTGTTCCTTTTTTGTGTAACTGTGGACAATAACCATCATTTACACAGTGTTTACGTTTTTTATTCTAAATTTAACAAACACACACACACGCAATCAACTCTGCCCTAAGCATTTCCATAGCAAAATAGAACACAGAAAGAGTATTGCGTATTATATTGTACATTTAAAGTGACTTCAAGGCAGCTAGGTGGCACAGTGCCTAGAGTCAGGAAGACCTGAGCTCAAATCTAGCCTCAGACACTTACTAATTGTGTGACCTGGGCAGGTCACTTCCCCCCTGTTGGCCTCAGTTTCCTCACTTGTAAAATGAGCTGGAGAAAGAAGTGGGAAACCACTCCAGTATCCTTGCCAAGAAAACCCCAAATGGGGTCACGAAGAGTCAGACACCACTAAATAACAACCACAAAGTGACTTTGGATAACAGTACAGTAAATACCATCCTATTGTGCTTTTAAAGTTTACATAATTATATAAAGTGTCATCTCTTCTAAACCTTACAACAACCCTTTATTACGAACACTATTAATTTCCATTTTACAGATAGGAAACTAAAACTCAGAAGGCCAAGTGGCTTTGGAGGCCATTGGGGAGTAAAGCAAAGAGCACTGATTCTATGTCTAAGATCTGAGTTCAAATCCACCCTTTAACAGTCACTGCCTGTGTGGGCAGGTCAGTTAATTTTCCTGGGCCTCAGTTTCCTCATCTGTGAAATGAGTAGGCTGGACTCGAGGGCCCTTCAGGTCCCTGACTATGGTCTTGCCTTCTGTCCCGTCCCCTTAAGGCTTTTCTGTCTTTGTTCCAAGGTGACATTGCCAAATGCTCAGGGATGGTATGTCAAACCCCACTTTGTGCCTGACATCCCTGCTCCAAACTCAGTGAAAGTAGGGAAACCAGTCACCCAAAAATGGGGAAAAGAAGCCAGAGTGAGGCCAGTGGAACCCTCAGATTTATCTGAGCACCAACCCCAGTACCAGTGACCCAACACCAGTTCAATTCAACATTACGAAGTCCTCTGCTGTGTGATGCACCAGTGATTCTGGGGCATCCCCCACAAGCCTGGGGCCCAAGGTAGTCCCCTCACATGATGTGGTGTGTTGCCCCCCATCAATTAGGTACCATAGATATGACTGTCAGGTGTTACAGCAGTAGACTTCCAGCTTGGAGTCAGGAAGACCAGAGTTCAAATCCTCCCTCAGACAGGTACTTAGCTGTGTGACCTTGGGTACATCATTTCACCTCTGAGCCTCAGTTTCCTCATTTGCAAAGTGAGGATACTAAACCTCCCTCACAGGGCTAGTGGGAGAATCAATATGCAAAGAATTGAGCAAACCTTAAAATGCTATAGAAACTCTAGTTATTATCATTTTATTGTTATTATTATTTTACAGATAAGGAAACCGAGATTCCAACACTAAGAGACTTGCCCACGTGGCTGGAGGATTTGCGGATTATTTTGTTTATCATTAAACGCACAGAACCTTGTGCTTAGGTGCTGGCTCTTTCACTTCAATTCAACTTGGTTCAATCCAATAAGCATCTATTAAGTGCCTACTATGTGCCAGGCACAGAGAATATAAAGAAAACAGTCACTGCCTTCCAAGAGCTTATGATTAACTGATATCACCAAACCTAGTGGTTAATCACAATATTAAACTGATAAATTCAGAATAATTTTTTAAAGGATGGTGGAGCATCAGATCCAGTCCCTAGGAATGCTCCTTTCCCAGTCGGGGGCAAACCTTGATGGGGGTGGGGGCAGAAACCACAGGAGCAGGGCCTGGGCAGGGTCCCCCTCCCTCTCTGCTCCTGCCCCCTGGGGTTTGTCTGATCCCCAGACGGATGTTTAGGAGGCTGTGCTCAGCAGCCCTCTCCTCCCCACTCCCCATGTGCCATTTGTCCCCAGGTGGCAAGGGAAGGGGCAGACGTCATCATCAATTGCACTGGAGTGTGGGCTGGGCTGCTGCAAACCGATCCGTTGCTGCAGCCTGCACGGGGACAAATCCTCAAGGTGGGTCTGGCGCCCGTGGTGTTGAGGGGCAGAGGCGGTGGAGGAGATGTCCTTGACTATGGCCTGAGGAGCAAAGGCCTCTGAGGGCGTCTGTGGAAAGTCTTTTAAATAGGATACTGAAGGTGTCCAGACAAAGGGCTGGTTTGAGAAGCAAGGGCCCAAGCTGGAGGGCTGGCAAAAGCTGGCACCTCAGCTGTCTCAGAACAGCAAGTCAAGGCTGGGGGCCCATGGGGTAGGCAGCTACCTGGGGTTTGCACTACTCCATGGGAGTGCAAGAAGGGACCCTTCCAAAGGTGACTTTAAAAAAATGAATACCTATAGTTTTAGGGTCAGAAAATCCCACTTCTTAGGACACAGATACATATATTTTGGGACAAACTGTGACATATGAGGAAGGCAGATTGGCAGAGTGGAGAGATCTGATATTTATAAGATGTCAGGTCACTTCTCTGAACCTCAGTCTCCTTTTCTGAAAGAATTACCTATCTTTCTGGGTTGTTATAAGGAAAGACCTTTGTAAACTTTACAGCACTACAGAAATAGGATTATGATGAAGGCTCTGGCGGGAAGTCACACCCTACTAGGTGGAGGTGGGAAGCGTTTGGGAATTTTTCATCCTTGCCAAGGAGACGCTAATGACTTTTTTTCTGACTCTGCCATAACTGTCCATCTAGGGAGGTCTAGAGTGAGCTTTGGCCTATTGTCAGTGCTGGGGAGAGGACGCTACCAGGCGAAGCAGGACCTTCTAGAGTGTGGAGCCTGCGTGAGCTTCTCCATAAGCTAGGACCATCAGGGCACTGGAGACTAAGGAATGCAGTCCTACTAGAAGCCCAAGAATGGAATCTCTGGTCCTGGCATGTGGGTGGGGCATGGCCATCCACAGATCTTTCCCTTCTGTTCCGTCCAGGTCTTTGCCCCTTGGATGAAGCACTTCATTATGACTCATGATCCAGATGCTGGGATGTACAAGTCCCCATATATCATCCCAGGGTAAGGTACCAACTTGGGGGTGGGAGTAGGGCAAGGGAGGCCTTCATGCCCTTTTATGATGGGGTTACTCCATGAACTGTCCTCAGAGGCTGGGGACCTCAGTCCAGCTGGACCTACCCTCCTCCCACACAAGGTCAGAGGGGGACGGGACTTCTACCATTTCCCTCTAGCCTCTGCATGCTGACCTCCAATGGAGGAGCGGGAGCCCACCTCTCTTCAGGCAGCCCATTCCTTTTGAATAGCTCTCATTGTTAGGAAGTCTTTTCCTGACATCAAGCTCAAAGTTTCCTTTTGGGAATTACCATCTATTACTCCTAATTCTGCCCCTCGAGGACTGAGTAGAATCGGTGAGAAAGGCCCAGCCAATCAGAACAGGGGTAGATTGAACAATGAACAAATCCATTCTTTTTGGTTTATAATGATGGAAGCGATGGTGGTGGTGACAGTGGTAGTTGTGGTGATGGTAGTAGTGATGGTGTTGTTGATGGTGATGGTAGTGGTGGAGGTGATGACAGTGGCATTAGTAGTGATGTAGGTGGTGGTGGGAAAAGTGATAGTTACAGTCATGGTGCTGGTAGTGATGATGACATTAATGGTGATGGTAATGGTCATGGTGGTGGTAGTGGTGATGATTGTGGCATTGGTAGTGATGTAGGTGTTGGTGGTAAAACTGATAGTTATAGTCATGGTGTTGGCAGTGATGATGGTGTTAATGGTAATGGTAATGGTCATGGTGTTGGTGTTGGTGATAGTGATGTTGGTGGTGACAATGATGGTTATACTCATAATGGTGATGATGATGATGGTGTTGGTGGTTGATGGTTGGTGGTATTGGTGGTGATGTAGGCATTGATGGTAAAAGTGATAGTTATAGTCGTGGTGCTGGTAGTGACGATGGCATTACTGGTGATGGTAATAACCATGGTGGTGGTGATGGAGGTGATGGTGTTGGTGGAGGTGATAGTCATGGCGGTAGTGACAGTGATAGTCATGGTCGTGGTGGTAGAGATGATGGTGTTGTTGAGTGGTGATAGGGTTAGCTGTGGTGATGGTGGTCATGGTGATGGTGGAAAGATGAACGGGGTGACGATGCCAGTGATGATGATGATGGTAATAGGCATGCAAGGTCCCAACTGTTCCATCTCCATGCTGCATTTCCAGATAGATCTCATGCTCCTCCCTTCCGTATACTTGATACTTCAGTCAAGCTGCTAGGCTCACTGTTCCATATTTACCCACCTCTCTTCCTCAGCTCCCACTGCTCCTTATAGCTGGGATATCCTGCTCACTCACTGCCCATTAAATTCTTGCCATGATTTAGAGCCCAACTCAAATGCCTCCACCTCCATGAAGCCTTCCTTTTGGTTGATGATGATTTTTCCCTTGCCCTTCACAGAGCTCTTTACTTGCACCCCTCTTATGAACCTTTAATAAGATATTATAAATGCCCATCCCTTGCCACATGGATACTCATAAATTTCCATTTTAATAAACAATAATTATTATTTTTTTCACTCCATGAACTACTCTTTTCCGTTATCGAAACCTGAGCAAAAACATGGTGCCGGGCAGGGGTGTGCTGACAAATGTGTAACAACCAGCTCTCCAGGAAAAAAAAATGTGCTCATGACACACTTTTAAATTTAATCTGTATTATGACCATTTTCCCTTTCACTTTCTTAGGGCTATACAATAATGAAATATTAATCAAGCTCTGATTTGCATCACTTGATGATTTCCTTGGTGTAAATGCTTACACTGAAAATTTAACAATCAGCACTTGTGAACCAGTTTGAGCTGGTTCCAGTCTAGCCCTGGTGCCAATCCCTCAAAGTGTCTCCTCTCTGAGGGCAGATCATGGTCTGTTTTCTTAACTTGGATTTTCGCCTTATAGAAAGTCTTCAAGGAAAGGACTTTGTTCATATAGTGAGAAGTAAGGGTATTCTATTTTTCTCTGTGTGTCCTGTCTTCCTACTATAAAGACTGTGAGCCCCTGAGGACAAGGGCTATTCCTCATCTAACCATCCTGTCTGTTCTAGAACCCAGCAAAGTGCTCTTCACACAGTAAATACTTCGCAAATATAATACCAATTTGAATGGTGATGAGGCTGATGGAGATAATGAAGTCTATGTTGGTGGGAGAGATGATGAGAGCAGATAATTGGGGGCTCAGGGCCCCCATTCCACTTGCACCTTCCTCCCTCCTGATCCAGGAGCCAGACAGTCACCCTGGGAGGTATCTTTCAATTGGGAAACTGGAATGAGAAGAATGATTCCCAGGACCACAACACCATTTGGGAAGGCTGCTGCCGCTTGGACCCCGCACTTCGGGTAAGGCAGGACCAATGGTCCTTCCACTTCCTATATTGATGTCCTGGCCCTGGGGCCCCTGAAGCCACAGGAAGACACCAAAACTTGGATTATTGGGTGAATCTTTATGGGGATGAGAAAGGAGCTTGATTTTCATCAAGCCGGACACATACCAGAGATGTAAGTGCAGTGCTAAGGGCTGTCATCAGGAATTTTTGCAACTAGAATGAAGTGGGGATAGTTTGGGGCAGTAGTGGAAGGTACCTGACATTAAACTACCTGTATGACCTTGGGCAAGTAATTTCCCTCCAGCAGACTCAGTTTCATCACCTGTAAAAATGAACTTTTGTGGGGAGCTTTCTTGGGGCATGGCCACCACGGAGAGGAAGTATATCTGGGACTCAGTGAGGGTTTTACTCTGCTGAAGAATTGACCTTTGCTGGGGACGTAGATGTGGGAGTCCAGCTGGGTGTGGTGAACAGAGGAAAGAAGCATCCCCCAAGACTGGCACGCTCTAAATTTCAGCACCTGGGGAAAAGACCCCATTGCTCCACCCTAGTTATAAATGTGGTCACGACCAAAAGCTGCCATCTAGTGAGGTCCTCAAGTCCAGGTGACGATATCTGAGTCCTCTTCCCGTGAGCCTACTAGCGAATCCCATCAATCCGTACTGATTCCCCTTCCCCAGGGATATTTCTATTCTCAATGGCATTCTCATCATGGAACTGAAAAGAATCTTAGAAACCATCAAGTTCAACCCTCTAATTTTACAGAAAGGGAAACTGAGGCTCAGAGCTGGTAAGAGACTTTCCCAAAGTTAAATAGGAATAAATAAGTGACAACACACATTTCCTTTCCCCCCAAATAACAACAACAAAAACATGAGAAAAACCCAAGTTACTGAAGCATTTCATTCCAGGATGCACGCATCATGAGTACATGGAGTGGTTTCCGGCCAGCCCGACCCCAAGTCCGGCTGGAGAGAGAGAAGCTATCGCGTGGACCCTTCAAGGCAGAGGTATGGTCTCCTGAGCCAGAAGATTAATAATGCCACTTGTCACCCCTAGTACTTTTCCTTGCAGAGGACTTTTCACACCCATCCCTGGGAGGTAAGAAGGGAATAGATGACTCTTTAGTTGAGGAAATTGAGGCCCCAGGAGAGTGACTTGCCCAAAGTCATAAGATGGGAATGTGAGAGGTGGTGAATAAAGGGATCATCGGGACATTCTTTTAAAGAAAAACATTGAAATAAGTTTTTCATTCATGTCTTTTTTTATACTACTGCAATTTCTCCCAATATACTTCTTCCTCCTCCTCCCAGAGAACCATAGTATTCTTTCAAATACAAAATAAAAAGAAAGAAAAAGAAGAGGAAAAAATAAGCAAAACTGATAAATGTGTTGAAAAAGTCTGAAAATATGTGTAATGAGCAACACTTGTGGACCTCCCACTTCTGCAAAGGGGTGTGGTAGGCAGCGATAGCAGACAGAGCCTAAAGTCAGGAAGACCTGAGTTCAAATGCAGCTAAAGATAATTCCTGGGGCAGCTAGGTGGTGCAGTGGATAGAGCACCGGCCCTGAAGTCAGGAGGACCTGAATTCAAATTCAGCCTCAGACCAAACACTTGACACTTACTAGCTGTGTGACCCTGGTCAAGTCACTTAACCCCAATTACCTAAAAAAAAAAAAAAAAAGATAATTCCTGACTGTGTGACAAGTCACTTTACTGTCTTCTGCCTCACTTTCCTCAACTGTAAAACAGGGATGTTGATAGCCCCTCCCTCCCAGGGTTGTTGTGACAATCAAAGATATGGTATTCGTAAAGTGCTTAGCACAGTGCCTGGCACATAGTAGGGCTATATAAATGCTTGTTCTCTTCATGATCGTTCTTTTTAATTTTGCAACATTCACTTTTGACTTCTGTGCATATGTATTTGTTCTTTCCATTTCCATTATTGTGTTCATCGTTGTGGTCATTGTATATATTATTTTCTTGGTTCTGCTGACTTCACTCTGCATCCGTTCTTGTAGATCTTTCCCACATTTCTCTGTATTCATTACACACATCATTGTGTTGCTATTTAGTCATTTCAGTCATGTCTGACTCTCTGTGGCCCCATCTGGGGTTTTCTTGACAGAGACACTGGTGTGGTTTGCCATTTCCTTTTCCATCTTATTTTACAGATGAGAAAACTGAGGCAAACAAGGTTAAGTGACTTGTCTAGGGTCACACAGCTAGTAAGTGTCTGAGACTATATTTGAACTCAGGAAGTTGAGTCTTCCTGACTCCAGGCACAGCACTCATGCATTATGGAGCCTCCTAGCTGCTCATCACATCATTTGTTACAGTGCAGTAACATTCCATTGTATTCATGTACCACAATTAACCATCCTCCAGTCAATGGGAATCTACTTTGTTTCTAATGCTTTGCTATCACAAAAAGTACTGTCATAAACATTTTGGTGAATAAGGAGACTTGCTTCTTATCAATGGCCTCCATGATACAGAAGCCCAGTAATGAAATCTCCGGGTCAAAAGTTATGGACATTTTAGTCACTTTATCTGTACTTCTCTTACTTGCCTCTCAAAATCCCTTTTGAGCTCTTCCAAGGCCTGGGACTGATTCATATTCTTCTTGGAGGCTTTGGATGCAGGAGCTTTGGCTTCATTGTCTTTTTCTGGTTGTATATTTTGATCTTCTTTGTCACCAAAGTAAGATAATATAGTCTGACTCTTTTTGTGCTGCTTACTCATGATCCCGGTCAATTACTTGAGTTTTAAACTCTTCGTTAAGGTAAAAGTCTGCTTCCAATGTGGAAAATGTACTGTCCCAAGTTTCGGGGGTTTGTACAGCTGTTTTCAGAGATAATTCTAGGGATCTGAAAATTTTTAGTTCTTCCAAGGTGCTATGATAAGGGGAGAGGTGTTTTCTCTCCACCGCCACAAGAAGCTTCACCACACCAGCATTCCTCCTTGCCCCCGGTAAAGCAAGAGATTCCTGCCTAAGCACTGGCAAAGAGATTCTTGCAATCCACCTCTGATCAGCCACTCGATTCCCCCTCAGTCTGTGGGCCAGAAGCTCAGGGAGCATCCACGGCCCCTGGGGGTGGATGAGACCTAGCTCCTTCTCTCACCGCAGTCACAGACATTTCCCATTGACCTTCCAAGTTGTCTTTGGCATTAAGGGGTTGAGAAATCTGGAAATCGCCACAGCTGCCCGCTATTCAGCCCTCTGAGGCCTGCTCCAGGGTTGCTGCAGCCTGCGTGCCTACACTGAACCCCGCTCTTCTCCCTGCCCAGCGTGATATACCTTTCTGATCAACCATCCAAGCTGTCTTTGGCTGGACATTTGTTTCACTCTGTTTTTTTGTGGGTTCTGTTGCTTTAGAATTTGTTTAGAGCCGTTTTTTATAAGTATTTGGAAGGGTTTGGGGGGAGAGCTCCAGCAAGTCACTGCTTTTCCTCTGCCATCTTCTTAGTCACTTTATCTGCAAAATTCCAAATTGCTTTCCAAGATGATTAGATAAATTCACAGCTCCACCAACAATGTACTTGTGTACCTATCTTCCTACAACCTCACCAGTGTTGATTGTTGTCATCTCTTGATACCTTTGCAATTTTCAGAGTGTGAGATGAAACATCAGGGTTGTTTTGATTTACATGTCTTTTATTACTAGTGATTTTAAGCATTCTTTCATATGGTTGTGAATACTTTGTAGTTCTTTTGAGAATTTTTTGCTCATATCCTCTGTTTATCTATTGGTGGATGGTCCCTGGATATTCTTGAGTTCATGAAGATTTAGATTTCTAAACCAGCCCTGTTGACATCTACAGGAGTCCAGGGCCTGAGCTCTGGTCCATACCAATTCTCTTTGGCCTTAGTCAAAGCTTAGGAAAAAGAACATTGGCCCTGGAAGCAGAAGCATTGGGTTTCAATCCCACTTCTCCAATCTACTACCTGTATGACCTTGGGTAACTCACTCAGTGGTCCCATGACTCAGTTTCCTCATCTGTAAACAGAAGTGGGATTGGAATAGATGGCCTTTAGGTTCCATTCAGTTTGAGATCCATGAGCTTTGAGAGGTGCTATGGTGTAGAGAATGGCTGGACTTTTTTGTCATCAAGACCTGCTTTTCATTTCTATCTTGGCCACGTAATACCTGAAGGGTCTGGGGCAAGGTACTTCCTCATCCACAGAATGAAGGATTTGGCTGAGAGAGCCTCTAAGGTCCCTTTTGACTCTGTATTTAGTATCCTAAAAATTAATAACTGACATTTCCATGGCCCAGAGCTTCACATCCATGATCTCACAACAGCCAACAATATGTCTTATGGGTATCACTGTCTCCATTTTACAGATGAGGAAACTGAGGCCCAGATAAGCTAAGTGACTTGTTCAAAGTCACATATGTAGGCCAGGAACAGAGCTGGGATTTTGAATCCAGGTCTTCTCAACTTCAAATTCCAGGCTCTTTCCACCTTGGGGGAATGAATTTATTTCCTTTTCCAAATCATAGGTAATGGAAAGAAGTCTCTGATGGAAAGGTAGAAAGGCCATGGGGGTCCTAGGACCTTTGGAGTCACAGGATTATAGATTCTGAACTGGAAGGGGGGAATGATTTGTCCAAGGTCAGGTAAGTGAAAGTGTTGGGATGGCTCAGAGAGCTTCCATTCCAGATGAAAACTTGGCTCCGCCTCTGGTCTCCTGGACAGGGGATGAGCGGTTGTGGAGTGGCCTGAAAAGGCCCACCAGACTTCTCATTCATCCCAGATGGGACTTGACCAAAGCAGTGTAATATGATTTTTTAAACAGAAGTAAAAAACTAGTTGAAAGAAAAGATGATAAACGTAATGAAATGGGGCCCCATGGAGTGTGAGTGAATTGAGTTGAAAACCTATTCCTATTTTAGCTTGGAGATGACCCCAAGTCATGATGCTTGGAAAGGCGCTAGAATTCCAAAGAAGGCTAAGTGGAATCAGGATTAATTTAGAGAGAGATAATCCACTCCCTCCTCCTCCCCCAGCCCCCAACCCATCAAACATGGCTAGCTACAGGACACTCAGAGCTAAGGCATGAAGTAAGGTAGATGTGTCCAGAAATGGAGATGCCAACAGATGTCCCCAGCGCAGGGAGAGAGCAGCACATTAGGCTGAATCAGAGAACATCTGAGACCTGGGAGCCTGGGGATGAGAAGGCACCCTCTTCAAGTATGGGCCTGCCCTTCTCTGCAGCTGACAGTCTTAGAGTTTAAACAACCTGCCCGAGGTCACTGAATCAGTATGGGTCAAAGGCAAGACTTGAACCCATGTTTTCTTGGCTTCAAAACCAGCTTTCTATCTATTGGTCATATAGAATGTCAAAACTGAAAGGGCAAGAGATGGATGGAACCTTAGAACATGGAATGTCAGAACTGAGACAGGCCTTGGAACAGGGGATGTCAGGGCTGAGAGGGGCCTTAGAACAGGGGAAATCAGGGCTGTTAGGGGACTTGGAACAGGGGATCTCAGGGCTGGGAGGGTGTTTAGAACATCGACTATCGAAGCTGGTTTAAAATGTTTTCACATAACTGCACTGCATGGAAGGTTGCACAAATACAAGTTATTACTATCCCCACTTCACGGATGAGGCCACTGAGGCTCGGAGAGATTCAGCAACTTGCCTGGGGTCAGTCACCCCAATGTAAGTGCAGCTCTCTGACTGCACTGATTTCTATGTGCCAGAGATGTTTTTTCTCCTCTTCTGCTACCGCCCATCAGCAGGCTCAATGATCACCTTTTCTCTTGGTTCTTTCAGATCATTCATAACTATGGCCATGGTGGTTATGGGATCACCATCCATTGGGGCTGTGCCTTGGAGGTTGCCAAGCTCTTTGGGCAAATCCTAGAAGAAAGGAAGCTGGCCAGCATTCCTCCATCTCACCTCTGAAGGTGCCTGGATCTCAGCCTCCAAAGCCAGTCATCCTCCATCATCCCCACCCCCTCCCCTTGATTTAGTTACTCTACCTGTGAATCCAGACGACTTCCTCCCACCCCCCTCCTCCCCATCTCCAGCCCTTTGTGCCAAGAAGCCCAGGCCTGAGAAAAATGAGAAATGAAGAGGGTTCTCCTGCTAGACAGAATAAAAAATTCTAGAATTCCATGGCTCACTGGGTTCAGCACTGAAGACCAGATTTTTCTCCTGGACATTGGGAAGGGCAGAATGAGGTATGGCTGGTCATCCACCAAAAGATTTCATGGATGAAGAGTGTGCAAAGGCAATCTAGTACGACTCATGTCATTTTACAGATAAGGAAACTGAGGCCAGAGAGGTGAAAGTGATTGTTCAAGGTCACACCAATAGTGTCAGATGTGTATTGGCACTCAGAATCACAGGATATTCGAGCCATAAGGGAGCCTAGAGATCATCTTCTGCAATGCTCCCATTTTACAGATGAGGAGGCTGAGGCTCTCTGAGCCCATAGAGGGAAGCTGACTTGCCAGAAAGTCATACAGCTAGTTCTAGAATGCCAATCTCTTCACTAGGTTAGGGCACTTATTGCTGGACCACAGCACAGTGGGCCGGTGGGAGGGCAGAGCCAGAAGTCCCAAGCTCTAAAGAAATAGGACAGCAGAGAAGGACCATCCCATGCCCTGGATTTCTGGGCTCCTGAGCCGGTCTACTCAGCCTCATGGCCCCAGCAGTCCCTCCTAACTCTCCCCTGTACCCCATTCCAACCCCTTGGAAGTATTACTCTACATGGAAACCCTTTAGCAAGAAAAAAAACCTAACTCACTAAATACCCTCCTTATTTGACAATCAGGAATTAACGTCCTCTGGCCCTGGACCACTGGGGATGATGAATGGGATCCTGCATGTTTAACCAAAAAATAAACTGAAGAAATGATCCCTTTCCTGGAGCAAAAGGTGCTGCCCATTATGAAGCCTTTGGGCGACCTGGCAGAGAGGAGGGCGCATCTGAGGATGAGAAGCTCCCTCGGCGAGTAATTTCCAGCCATCACTAACCCCAAGCCCTGCAGCTAACCACTGGGGTGTAATTGACCTGCCTCATACAATCATAGAATGTGAGAGCAGGGAAGGGGCTTAGAACAGGGGATGTCAGAGCTGAGTGGGGCTTAGAAGAGAGAATGTCAGAGCTGGGAGGGGCCTTAGAACAGGGGATGTCAGGGCTGGGAGGGGCCTCAGAACAGGGGATGT